TAATCATGTTTATGGTTTTTTTATATGCTTGCCCTGAATCTTATGCCAATAGTTTCAACTCAAAACAAACCCAAAAGTCCTAACAATTTAACAGTGTGATCTATTCATTTTTATCCTGTATTTTAGCTTAGTGGAAGGGGGTTTAAGATGCATGTACATTCACCAAGAAGAAAAACATTCTGAGGATGACCATTAAGTTTAAAAACAACCTGAAGCACAGCATGGCTGTGATGTAAGATATCTGAGATGTTAAGTGTCAGGAATTGTGCGTCTGCTTCAGAGATCAATGTCCTTGTTTAGCTCAAAATGCTAGTAATTATTACAGAGATCACTCAATAGAAAAATAATCTCATCCACAGAAGCATTGAAGTGAGTATTCTGAACCATAATAAATTTCAGTATATTCATTGTGTCAAGCACACTGACAAGGTCACCAAATGCAAAGGAGGTGTTGCAAATATTTTTAGTATGTTCATCACATGAAAGTGATGAAAATGTTCATGATATCTCAAGAAGCAATTACGTGATAGCTGGAAATTCAGAAAGCATTTTAATGCCATAATTATTCTGCATGTCTTTGGTAGTAATAGTTAATGGGGAATTTCTCTTGCAAATGTGTGTTTATATGTTTGCATTTTCTGGAGGCAATTGGTGTATTTCAATCACAAGTGATACACTTAACATTATGAACTACACTTGATTTTCTGAGCTTCTGTGAAACTAAACCGATCTTGTTTGCATAAACTTGATAATAATGATATCAGTACTAAGCTGATTTCAATGGAGTTTTCATTGATTTATTTTGGGATCAATATCCATTTCCTGTTGGTAAGAGAGAGCTGCCCATCTTATAGAATGGATATTTTCATTTTCTTATGTTTGTTTTAGATGGGTTTTCTGTCTTTGGAGTTTAGCATTGTTATTTCTGAATCTTGTTTTTATTGCTTTGTCTTTCCTTTAGAACAAGACCTTCTCTTTATTTTGCCAGCCATAAGAAAGCAAAATGCATCCTGGGCTGCATCAAAAGCAATGTAGCCAGCAGGGAGGACAAAGGGATTCTGCCCCTCTGCTGGCGAGATCCCACATGGAGCAAGTTTTCCAGCTCTGGGGTCACAGCACAGGAAGGACACGGACCTGTGGCAATGAGTCCAGAGGAAGGACACCAAGATGATCAAAGGGATGGAGCACCTCTCTTATGAGAAAAGGCTGAGAGAGTTGTGGCTGTTCAGCCTGGAGAAGAGAAGGTCTCTGGGAAGACCTTATAAACATCCTTCAGTACCTAGTGGGAGCCTACAAGAAAGCTGGAGAGGGTCTTTTTACAAGGGTATGTAATGAAAGCATGAGGGGCAAAGGCTTTAATCTGAAGGACTTGGATGGGGTATTAGGAAGAAGTTAATTTCTGTGAGGGTGACGGCACACTGGAACAGGATGCCCAAAAATGTTGTGGCTGACCAGTGTCTGAAAGTGTTGAATGAGGACAGGGCATTGAACAACCTGCTCTGGCAGAATGTGTACCTCCCCACTGCAGAGGGTGGGAATGGTATGATCCTTAATTCCCTTCTAACTCAAACCATTCCTTGACTCTGTTATTCTGATCTCTGGTCCTGCACTTTTGCAAGGACAGACAGGCTTGAGGCCCGCCTGCACACCAGCTCTCTTGCTTGGTCCTGCCACCTGCCACCAGTGTACACCCCTGCTGCCTCACCAGTTGTTTTGGATAACCATTCCTGTGACTTCGAATGGACAGCTGATACAAACACTTTTAAATACATATTTTACACATTTGTTTTTCAAAAGGTCATTTCTTCAGTACAGTTCTGCCTGGCACAGCCAGTGGGAGCGTGCTGTAGCAAGGGTGTGATATTCAGAGCTAGTATGCTAGCAGAGGCTATTTTGTGAAAATAGTCCTACTTTCTACTAAAATTGTATTAGAAGCAATGTATGAATGGCTAATAGCTAAAATATTTAAAAAAAAAAAGAAAAAAAAAAAAAAAAAAAAAAAAAAAACAAACAAAAAAAAACCCCTAGTAGACATGGCACTTATTATCAGGTAAATTTTGGGTGTAGTTAATCAAACAGAAATGTAATTTTAGCCTTCACTGCTAGGAACCAAGGGACATAAGATAGGCCTAAAATATGTGTCTTTTTTTAGCTATGTGTAGGACCTTGGTGGTTAAGAAAAGGATGGTAGAGAAGAGATATTGAGTCTCAGTCCTGACACTGTCACAAGATGGTCAGCCTCTGACTGCTTTACTTTGTATGGATTTCTGATGAATTTGGATACTTTGAGTGAGAGAAGAGGAAGTGAAAACATTTCAAGTCTCAGGTGTCTTAGACCCCCAGGATCCCAGCTGGTGGATCTTAAGCCTACATTTTTGTGGTGGGGTGACTGGCTGCCAGATGTCCAGCAAGTCCTTCTCAGCAGGGCAGAGGGAGAAAACACAATCAAAGAGATTGTGGTGCGAGATAAGGGCAGGGAGAGATCACTCACCAATTACTGCCATAGGCAAAACAGACTCAGCTTGGGGAAATTACATAATTTATTATGAGTTATAACTTATTATTAATCTAAAACCACCCTATCCCCACCCACCCTTCTTTGCAGGCTTGACTTCACTCCAGATTGTTCTACCTACTCCAGCAGCACAGGAGAATGGAGAATGGGAGGTTCAGGAGTTTTTTCCTCTTCCTAAATATATTTTTTCCTCTTTCTAAATACATTATCCCAGAAGCACATTGAGAGACTCAGCTTTGGCTAGCAGCAGTCTTTCTTGAAACTGGCTTTGTTGGACATGATGAAAGCTTTTTGTGTCTTGCCATAAGACACCTCTGCAGCCCCACCTCCCTCCCCTACTAAAACATTGCTATGTAAACCCAAGACAAATGAGATAAATGAGTAAACACATATTCTGTAATTTTTTGTGCCCACTGCTTCAATTAGAAAGGGCAGGGCCTGTCCTTAAACACTAAGAAACAAAAAGTGACAGCAATACAATAAAAAGAGAAAAACATTGTGGACATAAGGAAAACTGGAACTTTGAAGTGTTACCTCCATTTTGTGTAGTTTGAAGGGTTTGGTTTCGTTTGATGTGGTTTTAGTTGGTATAATCAAGTTGAGGCCTGCCAGAGAAATTGGAATGAATGGTATAAATTTGAATATTTGAAAGACTTAGGAGCTGTGATGAAGCTCCTAATGAACCCTATGTGGGTTTGAATCTGTGAATTCTAATTTAAGGAAAGATATTTTGGCAAAAAAGCATTGAGTATTATAGGTTATTCTTCTTTTCTACTTGGAGTATATCTTTATCTATGTTTCAGTTATCAAAGACATCAGTAAATAGCAACCATCTTTTGTATTGTCAATGAAAGTATTTTGAGATCTTTTTTTGGTGCGTGAATGAGACTAAGAAAATGCAGGATTACAAAGGTAAGAATTGGAAAATGTGCTTAGCTGGAAGGATATATCAAGGACTGTGAAGGAAGGAAAGCACTGGGAAGAAATCTGTTGGCTCTGAGGTATTTGACTTTGTTACTTCTTCCAAAACCAGCAGTAATTAATGCATTGAGTACTAGGTTGAAATCCAGCTTGTAGCTGTGAGAATAAAGGACAGTATAACAAACTTCGCAACTTTTTTTTTTTTTCATTCCTTCCTCTCAAAGGTTCTCTGGTTTTGAAAATATGCCAATCCAGATGTGCAGCCTCTTGACCTAGCTGATTGCTTTTATGAATCATTAGGTAAAGGCTGGGAAAAGAGAATTAAAGTAAATTGCAGCCAAATCCCAGTCATATAGACTGGAAATGGTTAGCGTTTTTTAACCACACAAAGTTTGCCTAATGTCGAGAATTTGCAACAGTTCTACAAAAAACCCTGCAACTTCTTCCAGTCCCCTCTTCTTTCAGAGACTCATGGTTCTCATTGAATTTGACTATTGTCAGGAGAGTAGCTGTTTGAGAGGTTTTGTAAACAGTCTTAACTGAAAATGCAATGAATAAATTTAAAGAAAACTCTCCCTGCTTATAACTCAATGATTCTGCAACTGTTTCTTAGTTTTTACCTTAAAAGCTGCACTGTCTTGATTTGCTACCAGGTATCTCTGAATTCTGGAGATTTAAGAAGATTGCACAAAACTTAAGTTCATTACTCTTTTTGGTAAAATGTTGTGCAGTATCTTTGCTGAGACAGCTCCCTACCTATTGACAGTGACTTCTTTTTCTCCCTCCTGCTCACAAATGGCAAGGTGTGCCAAAATAAATAGTAGAAAACCATTGGAAATAGGCGGCTTTTATTTTTCCATCATGGGAAGCTGATTTCAATGGTATTGACTCAAGCTAAATTATTAGAGGATCTCCTTTTTATTTCATTTCATTTCATATGCTATTAGTTGACATATCAAGTTTATCTCAATTAGGGAAAATGGGTTTCTGTGTTTGTCTTTAAACCATTTCAGCATTAGACTGAAAATTGACAAATTACTTCTATATTGATATGGAGTCAAGAGCAGTATGTAGTAGATCACATGATTTATATTGATCTGATGAACTGTGGTATTTAATTTGCAAAATGTTTGTCTGGTCTTTTCAATTCAAATATTTTCTAGGTGTGCATATAAGTAGGGTTATATTGCATATAAGTAGGGTTATAATAACCCTAGTTATTGTAGTACCACAATCCAACTTATATAATTATGCTTTCAAAATGTTTTAAAATTGTAAGTGAAAAATGCTTGATTTTACTTTTTTTATCATCACATTTCATCCTTTCTATTAAATCACAGATCTACTATTAAGAATAGATAAAATATATAAGGGAAGATCTTACACAAGTTTAAGAAGGTCTTAAAATAAGCAAGAATTATAAACATAAATTCCAATGCCTTTCTGGGGCATTTATCTGCATGGGCCTTCTGAGGTAAGACCAGTCCATTCTATTTTTAACATCATTTTTAAGATAGAACATATTGTGGTTTTTTTTAGAGCAACACTAATGTGTGCAGAATGGTTTCAGCCCTGCAGACTCATTTTTACCAAGCTGGAATGATTCAGTGTTAATCATGTTTTCTAAAGGAGGAAGAAAAGCAAACCTGGTGTTTGCTGTGAATTGGTGAAGATTAAATTACTCGACACAAACTCAGGATTACTTTGGTAGGTAACAATCAGTTTATTTTCACCTGGCACTTTCAAATAATGTAGTTTGGTACTTGTAGCCTCACCAGTTTTAAACAGTTTTAAACACGAAAGAAAATCAGTGTTCAGCAGCCTTGGAGCAGATATAGAAGAGAACTAAGTGTGTTTATTTTAATGTAGTCATAAAGTAGCTGGATGAATCAGACATGTTCAGTTTCTATCTGTATTATATGTCTTATCTTTATGCATATTTAAGGACAGATAAATCAGCAAATTGATTAGCTTGTTAATCTAATCTAAAGCCCTGCGGAGTAGACTCCCCTATTCCTATGCATGGTGTGAAGTGAATTTTCACACTTCTAAAGAATTATATTTTCTGTCTTGTATTTTGGCAGGCTTCATTTGTCTCAGATGAGAAGCTTATGTGTATATTATGCATGTTTATGTATATGTAGTGTTAAGTGAACAATTATGAATACAACTGCTGATGTCATAGTGCACCTGGAAAAAAGCAGAGCTGAACACAAGTCATGACCCTGCTGTTAACATGCTTTATCCTCCCTTTCTCTTCTTTCCTCCTTCGCTTTTGTAAAGGAATGGGGTTTGGATCTGTGCAATTAGATGACAGCACTTGTTCCATGCTGCCACTTCCAGGGGCATGAAGTCACTCTGTACTTCTGCTTCCACTCTCAAGTACTCAGGATCTCTCTGCAGTTTCTTCTATGACCATGCTTTGAGCTGCTGGCTCTGCATGATGTGCTCATTTGTGCTCTTTTGTGCACTTTTCAATGTGGAAGGCTTTCCTCTCCACAGGTGTTCTCCTAGTAAATGATGAAATACATTACTGCAATGATGCAATTCTTTGTAATTATGATGTAGCAAACAGTTGGTATTAAAAAAGTTTCAATCCAATACTGGGGTGGGGAAGCCATCTTACAAAAACAAAAAAGGAAAACACTAAAAAAAAGCTAATGTTTGATTGTAAGCTTCTGCAAAATGCTAGAATTGCCCCCCAATGCCTCTTTGTGCTTCTGCAGCATGGGTGTAACTATGCTGACACTTTTTTTCTTAGTAATATTAGTCTAGTGCTCCCTAAACTCTGAGCAGAATATTAAATCAGATCTGATTAAATTGGGTTCCCTTGATAGAGCAGAAGATTGTTTAAACCTTTCTAATTTGTGACCTATGATTGTACTCAGTTAAATGTGATATTAAGGTCAAGGTCTAACATAAAGTCACAGAGTACACCACAAATTCATTACTACATTTTAATTCATGTAGTGACACATCTAAGAACATGCTTCTTTACCTTTGACCCTCAGTTGTAAAGGAAATCCATCTGTTCTTACTAGGTTATGCAAACCCCTGGAGACTAGCTTGCCAGGGCTGTTAAGGATAAAGAAGGTCAGGATAAGGAGACATCTGTATAAATACTCTGTTATTAATATTCTCCTTCATAACGAATGTTGGTAAAAAAATAAGGACCACAGTGAACAATGTCTCATGACAACATTCAGAGCAGAGGACATATTGAGGGGTATTTATAATGTCCATTCTACTTTGCAGTCTTGCTTGGGTACAATTAAGTGGACCAAATAAGGCACCTAAATTTCCTCCCAGTTAATAGCGACAGGTACTGTCAAGACAGTGATTCAACACCAGTTAGATCCTGAAGAGGCAATACAAAAACTGTCTTTGTTCTGAAAAACAATGTGTGTCAGCAAGACGAAATGGGCACTGAGCAGCGAGAGAAAAACTGAAGGAGAAAAGAAAGTACTAAATTATAGTGACAATTAGAAAGTATTTTATGGTAAGAAGTCCTGTCAATATTCTTTTTATGTACACCACCTTTATTTGGCTTATTCTCTGTATGAGTATTTTCAAAGGTTAAAAAAGGATAGTTTATGCTTTCTTTGCAGTAGCTATTCAGCCGGTACAAGTGTTATGTATTTGGTCGTATCTTGTTCTTGAGCACTGTCAGCCACCTGTCAATCTTCATATTTGCAAAAAAGAAAACACACCAGCCACCCCACTGTGCTGAATGTGATAGCATTGTAATGTCAGAGGACTAAGAGACAGGTGATGGTTTATGATAGAAATAAATCTTTTATGAGAGCAAACTTGGGAGAATTGCATGCTTTTGTATGGAATATATCACTGCACAGCTATCACTGACAATGTTTTCAAATGCATCAGTTTCATAAGGCAAGGTTTTTATTGTGTCTTATCATGTATTGAGTCACTGGGGGAAAAAGGAGAAGGTATATGTTTTTGTATCTATGTAATAGGTAATATATATGTGTATGTAGAGGTGTTCCTGTCTTCATAGATATTTGAGAAGAATTAGACTCCTTTAATGATCCTTAAACTGACTCACACCTTTATGGTACAATTCTGATCGCTACACAGCATGCAATAGTGCTTCTGTGTATTGCATTGTGAAACGGGACTAGGTGCTTTTTGGGAAAAGACTTTAATTTGAATGAGAGGACTTGCAACTAAACTGTATTTCTTGATATACAGTGGGATGTTGCATTTTTGGGCTTCTTTTAATATGTTACCTGTAACTAGGTCACAAAATCATTTTAAGTGGGTTTTTTTTCTGAATATGTATAAAAGAGTCCTATCCTCCCAGAAAGCCACACATCCCACAGCCAGGCAAAATAATTTGAAGAATTTTGAGATTTCATTTTCAAAGTTATATTTTTCCACAATAAAAAGAATTGTCAAGAATCGTATAAAACTCACAAACATCTGTTTTGCTTTTTGTAGAAAAAGCCGTGATACGTTGGAAAATTTCTGTTCCAGAAAGCCAGAATGTCATAACAAACCTAGCAAGCAGAGTTGCAATTCTAGTGTCCCCTCAGCTGTGTACCCACATAATGTACAGCGCTTTTGTCATTCATTTTCTAGCCTGGCCGCACATTAAATAATGAGTATAATCCCCACCCAGTTTTTTTTCTCATTAAAGTAGGAATCACTTATGTTAAAATTAATGTTCAAGGCAGTCAGCTCCACAAATACACAGGCTTGATAAGAAAAAAAAGAAGTTATTTTTCATTTCCTCCAAAGTTTTATGCAGTTCTATGCTACCCTTTCCCTTTCTTCTCATACTGCTGCTATGTTTCCTCTTTCATATTGCAGTTGCTTATTTTACCAACACAACTACCCTGTGCTATATTTGGTTATGCCTTTACCAGGGATTCATGGCAAGGGTCAGCACACAGTCATGTAACCCAAGGGACAGACCATGGGTGGCAGTGTATTTGTTTGCAAGGCGATCATATGACAGGTAAATTGTTTATCTTGATAGCTGCTCCATGATGGAGCAGTGGGTTTTGAGGTCCACATGCTGAACCCTGGACAAAGGTCTGTGAAATGAATGGAAAATGCAGGTGTTTAGTTTTATACTGGAAAAGAAAACCCAACAACAACAACCAACCCCCCCCCCCAAAAAAAAAAAAAACAAACTCAACAACAATGACAACAACAACAAAACCCAAACCAAAACAAAAACCCAACCAACGAAAAAAAAAAAAACCAAAAAAAAAAAAAAACCCCAAAAAAAAAAAAAAAAAAAAAAAAAAAAAAAAAAAAAAAAAAAAAAAAAAAAAAAAAAAAAAAAAAAAAAAAAAAAAAAAAAAAAAAAAGAAAAGAAACCCACACCAAGACATTCTACCTCTTGCATGAAGATCCATGCCAAAATCCTATAGAAATGTCTCAAAATTCTGTCCAGCTGCATAAGGGCAGTGGTTAGGGTGCTTCAGTGAACCAAGGGTATGAATGCCCTGCATGTGACATCTGTTTTAGTCTCATGGCACTAAGCTGGAGTGCAGGTTAAAATAGAATACACTGACAGGCAGATATTGGGAAGGATCCCAGTCTAGCCTGGTCACAGTTGAGCTTATTATCCAGTTAATTCCATCTACCAGTCCTGGAAAGTGAAACATATTATTTCATACATTCTTTTGCCAAATAATTCCCACTAGGAAAACTACAGGCTCTGTAGGCTTCAGCTTGGGGGTGTTTCTTCTGTGAAGTGGCTGGGTTGTGTTTCCTGTCTATTGTGTTTGAGCTAAAACCTCAAATTTTGTCTTTTTGCACAAACATGTGCTTTCAGAGACCTCTTTCTGCCTTTATTTTTTTTAATAAAAGGTATGATTATTAATTAGAAAAGTCAGTGGAAGGAGCAGGAAGAAGGGAATTTCTCAACCCAAACAAATTACCTCATTCACATTTTTTTACCACTCTGTTTATTTGCATGTGGTTTTTCACACTTTTTTAAAAATCCTCTGAGTCCCATCTGGCAAGCAGCACAAAGTGTCTCTTCCCAAAACTCCCACTCTAGGAATGCTGTGTGATGCCAAAGCACAGGATGTGTTAATGTGAAGGCCAGAGCTAGCCTGCTCTGCTGTCAGTTCATCCCCTGCCAAGCCTTGCTCTCCACAGCACAGACACAGGCAGTGGAGAAAAGTCAACAGACATAGCTCAGATCAGTAGTCAAAGCTTTGAGAGCTATCCAAATGGTCCAAGTACTCATCCAAGCGACCAGGCATCTGAGCAGATCCACAGTAGTGCTCATGAACCTGCTCCAACTGTAAGGTTTCAGGCTCCAGAGTTTTCCCTTCCCACAATTTCCCTTCCTTCTGCCCTTTTGCTAGAGCTGTTGCCTACTTCTGTTTGTTCCCTTCTGCAGCCTGAGGTCTCCTCTGCTCCCAGAGGGTGACCTGTCCCTGTGTGGCTCAGCTGTGCTGAGGAAGCAGGGAACTGGGCTTCCCATTCTGTTGGCATTGGAGCTGCTGCCTGCATTTTTGCAGGCTATGTGAACTTGAAGAACTAATATGTTCTGGCATCGAGCAGTACTGTAGTCTGTTGGTGTATTTATACAAGCCTGAGAACTTGGTTTGAGATCCCACAAAAGGAATGGCTAAAGAACAGATCTTTTAGGATAATGGCTTGGCGTCTTTTTTTTTTTTTTTTCCTTCCATGCACAAGCCCTGTCTAGCCTTTAGGACAGG